ATATAATTCACTTTGCACAAATTATATTTATATATTTTGAATATGTTTACAATTAGGGGTAGAGAATTTCAACCTGAGTTTTTGGATCGAGAGAAATTTATAATCGTTGGATTGTAAAGTCCAGATACAGTTTACATAAATTATATTTTATTTAATTTATCACATTTTATTTAGTTATCAACAGTGAGACCAACTCGTTAATGGTGAGGTCTTATTCCTTTATCAATGATTACAATTAGTGTTTCCTGCATGCATGTCCTTGAGCACTTACTGTATGAGAAATAAGTTGTGTTTTGCATTTTCTTCATGAGTTCTATACTTCCATTGTAGAGACATCTCTCGACTATAGGAAATTAAGTTTGACAATTTTTAATTTATGGTAAAATTTTAATTTGTCAGCTATTATTTTAATATTTAATGTATGTATGTTTTATTTAAACGAGAATTTGATATAAAATTATTAAAGATAAATTTAATTTCAATCCGCTACTAGTGCTACCTTGATTTGTTTTGATAATGTACATAACACACGTCGGTGGATTTAGTACTAGCTTTGTTAGGTAGAGGATCCAACAATATTAATTCTTTACCACAATGACTACTAGTTACGCATCTCTAAATTATTAAAGTTGAACCATGTATTCACAAGCAAAAGTATAATACAAGAAACAAAACACAAAATGACAAAATACTGTTCCAAAACCTAGTACAAGAAATTCAATCTGGGTTAAAAACATTGTCAACGCACTTACAGATACCCTTGTTCAAGTACAGGCCAGACCACCCCCACAAGCCAACATGGCCAGACGACCCTTGACAAAAAGGATGCTAGGTTTAACAAAATATTAAACTCTTGAGATATTCAAAGAGACTTCAAAAGCCACCTACCTGGTGCCTTGGTGCGCCCCCGTATCTTCCGGAAGGATGGCCAATATTTCCATAAGACGAAGGGCCGGTGTTCACCCCAGGACAATCTCTGGCCCAATGCCCAGTCTGACCACATTTAAAGCACTCACCAGAAGCACCACCAACCCTTCCCCCAGAAGACAAGCTGTCCAAATAGCCCCTTCCCGTGGACTGCACTGGGCCACTCATGACACTTGGGCAATTTGTGGAGCTATGACCAGTAGCCCCACAGCTGTTACAGAACATGTGCCCAACAGAAGAACCAGTTGCAGTAAGACTAGAGCCACTATACTGGTTCCCATACTGACCCGCTAGATTTGCAAATGAACCATACCCTCCACCCGCAGCTCCTGCTTGTGCGTGCTGTCTGCTTACATCAGTTGTGGATGCAGTAATGTTCATCCCATTGTAAGGAGTGCCATTCTCTGCCTTTGGGACAAAGGAACTTGAATCCCCTGATTTAATCTTGTTAATTGCATCCAGAAGAAATCTGGACTCTGAAAAATCTTTCTCTACTTTCATAACTGTTGATTTCACACGCTGCTCATCACTAAATGTTTCCTCCTTTACTTTCAACTTGAACATGTATTTTTTGAACATAACCTGACGCATGATTTCCATAAATCTTTCGTCGCTTTGATTTTCATATCTCAAATGATACAGCTCTTTTGCAGGAACACCGATGAGCTCCTCACCAGCCTCCTGAAAAGCAGTTACCCATGTCAAGCCTGTATGATCCTGTATCTGAAACTGGATTATGTACCTGTAGTCACATTCATCCACAGCCTTATCACATTTATCACACCACCACTTTCCATCTCCATTATTCGCTACCTTTTTGTTGCATGCGCGGTCTCCATTCATGATAGGGCAAGCTGTATAGCAGAAATTTTCATTCTTCATGTATATGACAGTGGCAACTACTGTAATCCAATCTGGCTTTTCAGAAGTCCCAAGCCTCTCATCTTTGATTTGGGATATAGTCTTTCGGTTATCTGTCCTTCCCACAATTGGAGTTTCCCTGGAAATAGAGACAGAAGGTGTGTTTCTCCCTTCTTTGAAAAACCATTCCTTTAGTCTGCGGGCCTCATTGAAATCTGGCTCAATAAACAGGTTACTCATACCAATGGTGCCCAATGCCTTCCCATTAAAATCATTTACCCTACCAGATTTCACCGCAAGAACAGGAAATTCCCCAGAATCACACAAACTTTGCAATCTCTGTCCGTCTGTGTTACAAAAATTGCCCCACAAAGTTAATTCAACACTTCTGCCAGACTTATCTTTTAACTGAAGGGTCCTCTTCTGAGTCTCAGTACCATTTTTCCTCATTATTGAAGTAGCTGGACTGATGGAAGTTACCACACCAATTACATCCACAACACTGTTATTCTCCATACCTTCAACATCAATTATATCACGGAAATGAAACTGCTGCCTTGGAATTGAGTTGTCATCCTCAGATGGCAGTACTATTGATGAGTTGTCCAGGAGAATTTCATGATCATTGTGTAGGTGGTTGAAATCTTTCCGAGCATGTTTTAAACTTCCCTTTGAAATCAAATAAACCCTACCTTCTTCAATCTGATTGTAGAATTGTTCAGCCACAGCATTAAAGCAGGTTGCCCGTATTTCCCCACCATCAGAATCAAGAAGATCAAAGGAGAAAACTTTTCCTTCACCACGTGCGTTGTTGTAGGACCTAAGTTCAGCCTTCGATGTCACCCTGACCTTGATTGTCCACCTGCCCAGATAGGGATTTAGAGCAGCGATTGGAACCATCCTTGCTGGAGCTTCATTCCTAGCTACTGGACCTCTGTTAGCATACATTGGAGATGGTTGCTGGTAGTTTGGCAGAGGTTGGCGGTTAAAGGTACTTGAAGGTCGTGAAGTGTCTTGTCTAGGGTTATGGAAGCCAAGGTTTTGAGCACCAAATGGCCCACTTAAGGGTGCTGATACAGAAATCCGAGCACCTCCTTCAGAATTGATTTTGGGATAACTTTGAGGTGCATTTGCTGCACCATATCCTCCTGATTCAGATTCAGTGGAATAGGAAGTACCATTCAACTGAGCCATCCCACCTTGCTGAAAAGGAGTCCCGATGGAATTTGGCTTATCAGCTACAGTGGCTGGAACTGAGCTCCCACCAAAGTTGTAAGTGTTGCCTGTCACCATCCCAGGTTGATTAGTGGAGGCTTGTAGAGGCCTAGAAGATTTTTGTGCTGGGACAGGCTTTCCAATGAGATCATATTTCTGAATTATTACCTCCAGCTCAATAATAATGACAATCCTGCATGTAGAAGTGAAAAATATTGATAAATCATCAAGCAAAGAGCTGCAGTAAAGAAACTTGCAGTGCAGCAAGGGAGAATGGCTCATTCTTTTGAGTCTGAATCAAAACAAATAAATGAACTACAGTTTTAGCAGTTTTCATCTCATAATATCTGTAAATGCCTAATTGCCTGTTCTCATCAAAGGCTGCAGATGAAGAAACAAAATGGTCCTGAAAAAGTTTACAAGCTTATGCTTCTCAAGTATATATGCTTCCAAGGGACTTTAGCAGTTAAGCCTCACAGGTATTACTGAGTTTCTTCCACGTAAGAGCAACTCTTCTCCTTTATATGGCATGGGATTCTAGGAAATATCAGAAATTGTTTTATTTATTTGTTTAAAAGCAATTATGAAGATTGTTAAATTGATACAGTCAATACAGATGGTTTCAGTTGAAAATAGTTACAGAACAGAAAATATAAATATCTTTGCAGCATAAAACAGCATAAACAAGGAAATAATCACAAAAAAACATTAGCCATGAGCATCTTCAAAAAGCCTGTCTCAGTTCAACAAATTTACCACAAAATATGCATTCAATTGACTATTTGCAGGCAGCATAGCAAAACAACCATAGCAATTCCACTAAGACCACACTGCTAACACTATTTCAATTTACAAAATATAAAGTGATGGAAACCCTTAACCCAGCAACAAATGAAAAATCACAACAAACCTATCACCTAATTTGAAAGCCTAAGTATGGGAATCTATTACCACAAGGTTCGTTTTTTCTATCACAGTAGAGTGACAAAATTCATGGAGCCCTAATTTATATCCGCACATACTTTACATTAGCAAGACTGAGGCAACAAAACGAAATTAAAAGACCAACCTTTCAGAAGATAAATACCCAAACCAAGAATCCACTTCGCAATAAGAAAAAAAGAAGAAGAAAAGAACAAATTGGAACGAGACGATTGCAGCAAGGGACTTACATGCGATCCTGGATGACATTGCAGATGTATTGAGTCAGCTGAACAACGGAACCGACCTGCAACTGAGAGGACGTAACAAGCTCATTCTTGTTGGTAGCGAGCATTCCTTGCTGCGTCAAGGAGCCATCCGACAGCAACAGCCTGTACCTGCCGCTCTTTTTGGGTTCCGATTGCTGATTCTGATTATTCTGCTCGTTCTGTTGCTGATTCTTGCTAGTGGTCTGGACCTCTTTCAATTCAATAACCTGAAGCACCGGCTTCAAATCTTTCTCCGTCGCCACTTCTCTACTCACTATCCTGGCCACCGCCCCTTCAGTCAGATTCACCCCCATCGGAAACCCTAGCTTGGTATCAGAAAATCGAAAGCGATTGGACAAGGGAACGTTGAAGAGATTTCAGAAGGAACGGCTGATTGAGAGATGAAATTGGTGTTTGGACCGAGAGAAAGTAAGGGAAAATTTGATGAATCGATTGATTGAGAGTCGAAGAGTCAGAGAAATTGAAAGAGTAGCAGAGAAGCCTCTAGAGGGACTAAGATGAACAGCGCCAGTTTTACTTACTTGGGAGGGGGAAGAGAGCGCCAACTTTGGGATTTTGGGGATATTATTCACAATTGAATTTTTGAAATGTCTATTTTATCCTCAGTTTTGGCACAGGCTTCTAGGGCAAGCTAGTGGGGGAAATGCTGGAAGTGGACCAACATGTTCCGGCGCACGTAAGCATCTTGGGTGCTATTTATCCTGCCACGTAAGCATGAAAATTCTCTTTTTTTTTTTAATTAGTAAAATATTAACTATTAATAAAATATAAGTAAAATAATACTTATTAATTTTTTTTAATAATTATCATGAAATCGAATTAAATCGTTGTAAAAAAAAAAAAAAGCGAAACTTTTATATGAATGGCACTCGGCGGGTCAAGTTCAAAATAATACTTATTAATTATTAATTATTTATTATATTAATAAATTAAGAGATTTTTAAAAGATGACATCTTAACATTGAAAAGCTTCTGCATCGTAAAAAATTAATTTCATTTGATATTAACATCAAAATTTGAAACTTGTGGTAAGATGACACTTAAATTTCATTTATATTGTATCTAAATAAAATATAAATTTATTATAAATAATTAATTTTAATCAATAATTTATATTTTTTTAATAATTTTAATTAATATTTTTATTTTTTATGTAAAAAAAGATTAAAAAACAACCGACATCATACCACAACTCAATACTCTAAAATGATACCTTAATTATTAGTAAATCAAACCTTCCTTATTTTTATTATTAAAGTTATTATTTACTTATTTACAAGTTGACTTATTATTCTTTTATTTATTTATTTTTTTATACAAAGGGCAGTACCAAGTACTAAATATATGTAAGGCTCTCGCGCTATATACTCCTAATTCTTTCATTCTTTCATGTAAAGCTGAAAGCAAGATTTGGGCAGAGCTAAAATCTTGGGCCATTGAAACTTTGGGTTGGAATTGGAACTTGGAACTACGAATATGGGCCGAAAAAGATTGGCCCACAAAGATCATGCATATTTTAAGAGCGGAACAGAAGTAAGAAAGACACAGCGTCGCAGCCGTAGCGATCGGTTTTTGGTCTGTCTTTCCTTCTTTCAGTCCTGCAACCGCAAGCTCTCCGATCACCGGATAAATGTTTCCGGTGACGGACACGTTCCAGCGATCGTCCTTGAGCTTCCACTAATGCACGGAGAAACTCCAGCAGCCTCCAATTTTATGGATTCCCAAGAAATCTCTGAAGACAGCAAGAAGGGTTTCCCTTACTTGTTCTCTCGAATCTCCTTCGCCCTTCTCTACTCCATCTTTGCCTTCTTCTTCTTATCATTTCTGGTCGGAATAGCAGGGTTTTTCATCGGCGAATTCTCAATTTCCAGTCCGATTTCTGTTCCGTCACAGTGCAAGATAGTCTCCAGCAGTAAGTTCCTCCGATACAAGACACTGGCTCGTTTACCTATCTGTTCTGCTTCTGTGGATTAATTGTGTTATGCTTATATTTTGCTAATTACAGGAGTGGAGAAATGGAGTATAACATGGATACCAAATATATGGTCTAATGTGAATTGTTCTTTTTCCATTTTCATTTCTCCAGGTGTCGATCTTAGATCAGAAAAGGTCTGTGAACTTGGATTGTTGAATTATAAAGCCAAACATGTCTTTTATCCCTCTGAAAAAAGCAAATATAGATGTAAATATGATTACTACTGGGCCTCAGTTTTTAAGGTAAATCTGACTTTGTTTTCAGGTCATGTGATTGTTTTACTAATTTCCTTAATTTTTAATCTTTCATCATTGTGTCGATTCTGGGATCATGTCGAGTTAATTTATGCTTGTAGAGGATTCTTTTTGGCATCAAAGTAGAATGTGAATTAAGAAAAAAATAGAAAGATTTGAAATATGATGTCTCAATGATTGAGGGAGTAACATTCTCAATTCTCAAAAGTAGTTCTCAGTTGAATCCTCAAATGGTTGAAAAATTCTTAATGGTTTCCAGTTAAGGGTAAATCCATTGACTATAATGCGTGGTTCGAATTTGGCTTGGACAGGAAACTTTGTGCTTGGAGGACTGTATAAGAGAAATTTTTTCTCTTATGAATTTCTGTTAAACAATTTCAGGTGGAATACGAAGATCATGCTTTTGGTCAGACAAGACTGGCAGTTTCAGAGGCACCAAATGAAGCCCTCCCTCTTAATTGCCGACCTAATTTTGGTGCGGCATGGCTTACCAAAGATAAGTTCAAGGTAGGTTTCAAGTTTTCTAATTTCACCTATGATGATTTACAAGCTTTAGTTATCTTGATTTATGGGTTTCTTTTTAAGTTTTAACTATATATCTAGCTAAATAAGTTTATGCTGTGGGATATTTACATTTAACAGATTTTTGCTCTGATTTTCCTGGGAACTCCTGGTTAAGCCTTTTGCTTTTTTATTTTAATGTGTAATAAGTGAATGATATATGTAACAGATAAAGGAAAGTAAAAGAGCCAACAATTTAGAGGCCTGGAACGCCTACCTAAATGTTTCTTATTATACAGTTTTCTTATACCATGTCCTTTTACAGGTGAATGAAACTTACGACTGCTGGTACACATCTGGCATTCCCAAAGTAAAGCTGTATCATGATGGTTTTTTCAGTTGCCAAGCAAGAGATCCTTCATCAATTGAGATGATTAGGCGTTATTGGATGCTGTGAGTTGTTTCCTATGTTTCATGGTTTTATGGTTTTCTAAAGTATTATTTTGCTTTATTCTAATGAGCACGTGATTTTCTGTTTTTTGTGGTTCATGTTAAAGTTGCTATTATTAGTAGCATCTAAGGAGGATTTTGAATCTCTGATAGCTTAACTCAGAATCACGGCTTTAGCTCCATTTTGTTGTGATCCCATGGTTGCATGGAACATGTTCTTGTTCTTGTTCTTCTCGCTCTTTTTCTTTTTTTTTTTTCCCCTAAATATCTGATTTCCTCCCTTAGAGTTTCTGCCCACTGCAAATAAGTCTATTTCATCCTTGGAGCCTCCTCATTCCTCAATAAGTTTGCATTTTTACTTAGAATTATGAAAGATTGTAATTTAGTGGTCTTTGACTACCAACCCATTATGTGATTTGCTATTAATTGGTTGGAATAAAGATGGACTCTTAATACTGCTTGCATCAGCTCCTCAATTTGACTAGACTGTTATTATTCTACTAGGTCCACCAAGATACTATACTCATGGTATTCCAGTAATGAGAGATCTGTTTTCTGGACGTGGGAAACGGTAGCAGGGGCTGTCACCGGCTTCTCTATTTCATTGATCACAATCAGCTGCATTAGAATCCTACAACACATAAAATCTTGGTTGCCTAGAATCCATTTGAAGCGTGTTTGTTTTCTGCTGCTATACTTTTCTCTTACGGGTTGGTTGGCCTGTCAATACTGGAAATGGCTAAATCTCCCTGCAATTAAATGGTACGAAATTACTTGGTAGCACTCTTTTTTTAACGTGCTGTTACTGCTGTATGCCATCCCTGCGGGGACTTTTACATGATTTTGTAATTGTAGTACATTTAGCATTTCTTGCCCAATGATGTACAATTGGGTCCTGCTATGGAACAGCTTACTCACGAGCAAGTCTTGCATAGGTAACCGTTGATATTGAACACCTTTAATTTGATAACATGATTTGAATCCTGTTGGAGGAAGGTTTGCTCCACGACGCGAGTTGTATTTTTAAAAAATTCTTCTTGCTTTGTTGGTTACTTGACCGGCAATCTTAGGATGCTCACTCAATCATCTCAATAGTGATTGAGAATCCATACTGTGTCTGCTCAAGCAAAAGAGACGAAGACATCTACTTAAGCTCCAAAAATAAGAACAGTAGATAAGACCAAATACAATATAAAATTGCAGGAAAGTAGATAGCAATCCAAGAGGCGTGACATTTACTCCCAACAAGAAACAAACTCGGTAGATCTAATCCCCTATGACATACAGGAGCTGAAAATCTAAAATATAACCAGGCAACCTTACTATTAAAACTCTTGAAATGTATATATCAAAATTTGTTTGTTATTGATTTCACTCATAATTCAACTTACAAGATTGAATCAATTTACAAGATTGAATCAATATAAATGTAAGGTGAAGATTTAGATACATTATATACTAAAGTAAAAGATAGTTCATAAATTAAGAGTATAAGTGTAATACACATTATGGAAACTAACTTGCAGGAAGAGGCGAAAACTGTATGCGTTGCTGGACCGTGAAAGCAGAGATCTCTACACAGTGGTTAAGTAGGGCTCTTAGTCCCAGATATTTTGAAGATTATACTCCACAAGTGTTTCTTTTAACAAGTCATCAGGCATGATTCCATTTATCAACATCTGGTCACATAAACGCATGGCTTCAGCTAATCTGCCAGCTTTGCAACAACCACGAATTAGAATCGTATATGCAATGACATCAGGCAATAAACGTCTGTTTAGAGCACAATGAAATGCAAGTGATGCTTCCTCTATTAGTCCTTGTTTGCAAAGGCCATCAATGAGGATACTATAACTGACAATATTGGGAAAGATTTTCTTTTCAAGCATTGCTTCATGAAGCTCAAATGCGTTCTTCAAAATCCCTGATTTGAAATAGCCATCAATCATACAACTGTATGTGACCACATTGGGTTCGGGTCCCTTTTCCAACATCTTGGAGAACATCAACACAGCATCATCCATTCTACCTTCCTTGCAAAAAGCATCAATCAATATAGTAAAAGTAATTGCATTAGGTCCAAACTGTCCACTTGTCAGCTTTTCAAACAGGCAAATTGCCTCATCCAACATTTTTGATGAGCAGTAGCCACATATCATTGTGTTGTATGTTACAACATCAGGTTTTGGCCCTCCCTTTACAAGTTGCCCAAAGAGTTCTGATGCATCTTGCACTCGGCAATCCTTAAAAAGTATATTAAGGAGAACATTATATATGGCAATATCAGGATCCACTCCGTTCATTTTCATCAGCCTAAAGATCTGCAATCCAGCAGTTGGATTTTTATGCTTGCATAATCCATCCATGAGAGTACAGTATGTTACCGCATCTGCTGAGAAACCTCTTTTCAGCATATGGAAAAAAATTAACAATGCCATGCATAAGTTCCCTTGTCTGGCAGTCCCCCTAATCAAGACAGTTTGGGTCACTACATCAGGTTTTATACCGAACATTGCCATTAAGACATACACCTTCAGGGCATCCTTTAAGCGCACCAATCTGCACCAACCATCTATCAACGAGTTAAAAGTGAAGATATTAGGTTTTGTGCCCCTCTTTACCCCATGAAAGAAGAACCCAAGTGCACTGGTCATCAGCCCTTGTTTGCAAAAACCATTAATTAACATGGTATGGACAACAATATCAGGTTCATGACCCTTCTTAATCATATCCTCATATAAGGCAAACCCATCCCTCAAGTTACCCGACTTGCAATAGCCATCAATGAGACTACTATAAGCTAACAGAGATGGCTCAAAACCATGTTTAACAATTTGACCAAAAAAGCCACAAGCTTCAGAAATCCTATTGTTCTGAGACAAGACAGTTATAAGGATGCTGTAACTAACTACATTAGGTGATAAACCTTCTTCTAACATTCTTTTATAAACCTCAATCACCTTTCCCAAATCCCCGGTTCTAACATATGCATCCATAATGGAACTGAAAGCAACTACATCCAACTTGATACCTCTATCTAATGCCAGAGACAGAAGCTTATGCCCATCCTTCAATCTCCCTGCTTTGAAATAACCATCAATGAGGATGGAATATAAAATTAAATCAGGTGGTGTACCCCTCTCTATCATAACATCATGAAGCTCAAATGCTTTATCCAATTCTCTTCCCTTACAATACATGTTAATCAATGTGCTAAAAGTCACCACATTTGGCACTGGTCCAAGGGTCAGAACTAAATCAAAGAATTGAGAAGCAACTTCTGTTTGATTATTTACACAAAGATTCTTCAAAATCTTATTGCAAGCAGCAATTTCAACACCCAAACCTCTCTCAATCAACATCTGATGAAAATTAAAGGCCTTTTCAACCTTACCCCTCCTCAAAAGACCACCCATTACAAACCCATAAACAAAAAAACTCTGCCCTTTCAATGCTCTCTGCAACTTGTTGTAGTTATCAAGAATCATATCAACGCGATTCGTATCAATCATAGAATCCAACATCCTACACACTGCATTAGGCGATACAAACATACCTAATTCATACACATATACAAAAATCTCAAAGCACCTATTTACCATCCCATTTCTACAGCACCCTTCCATTAAAAACCCATGAACAATACCAGAATTCAAACCAAAATTTCGAAACCCATCAGAAAAAGCACCAAAAATGTCCAAACTTTTACCAAACCGAGCAAGCATTTCATCAAATACCTGTGTCGCCGCCCCAACCATCCGGTGTCGTAGGAAGACATGAATAAGCGCAGAATAGGAGTGTGCATTAAGGGAGAGTCCAGGAGAGTTCTGGGTCCAGCGGAAGAACTGAACGGCGGAAGTGGGGTTGTCTTGTAGGGCAAGTAGGATGGGTTTAACGTGGTTTGGCTGTAACTTGGAGAGGATAGTAGGGTTTAAGAGTTTGGGATTTTGTTGCCGAAAAGCTTGAGTGACATGATCTATGAGTGCTTTAGTTGAAGAAGAAGAAGAATAACAAGAGAACAAAGAGTGAAAAGAAAGGTTTTCTGCAGCATAGCCTGTTCTCAGCAGCGGCAGAAGCTTGGCAGAGAACATGGGTTGGAGGGTTCCATAGTAGTCTGCTTCAGTTTGCCCCTGTTCTTTTCGGCATTTGCTTGCACCGCACTCGGGTGGAGCTGGGCGCAAATTCAGACCTCGAGCCCACCAAGTCCAATTGGGTCGGGCCATGTTACAAACTTCTTCCTTTATCTTTTGATTTTTGAACAAAAGAGTTGAATTTCTTTCCAATTTTGATGATGGTAAACCATGTAGGCTAATAGCTGATAGTGATAAAGAACATAGTTTTACTGTTTGAAAGGTAAAACTGTTTTGCAAAAGCAATATATGGACTACACTAAATTGCGAAATAAAAATCATTGAAGAGGAGAGCACACCCCTACTATTAAAATATAGACTTATTAATTGAGGCCTCCAATATGTAATCCCCAATCGGCGTGGTCTCCTGAAGAGTATATTTTGCCAACCACAAGCCCAGTGGTCACCCAGTGAGTGCTCCCCCAGACGACACACCCCTCCCTCCTCTCAAAGAAGGAAATAAAAGGCCCTGAATTTCGTTTAAGGAAACAAAAGATTGAAATTTGCAGATTCATTTCCAAATTCTTCATCGTTCTGTGACTCGTGAAAAGAGAGGATGAAAAAAACCTGCGTCTTTGAACA